GTCGCTACCATCGTCATTTTCAACATCCGAGTCGTCGCTGCTGTTAGATGCCATGGCCAGTGTAAGACCAATTGATAGGACTGAGTCATCGGAGTCCGAAACATTTGGAAGGAAGTTCAGTGTCACCCCAGCCTTCAATCGCACGAACCGATTGCCGGCCTCCGGCCCGGCGCCATCTGAAAACAGAAGTTAGCGGTACAAACACAAGCACAAATCCCGGCCACACTTGTCTGGGGATGTCAATACCGCGGCGATGCATCGCAGTAACCGCTTCACTCTGCGCGAACGACGGAGATCGCTGTTTGAGAGGTGTAGGGTGTAATCAAGAGTTCTGGATCTTTATAGCGCGTCGAGGACGTCCACATTGCCGCCGACACGATTTTTGCGTCAGCTGGACAGGAAGCATGCGTTGAGAAGGCTGATGTTTAGTGCCGAAGAACCGTGATTGCTGTTGCAGAACTGACATCTGGTGAGGTGTAGCGACGACCGCGTCCCAGTTCATTTTCGGCGCTGGGCATACTAGGTCAAAACTCTCCCCACTGCGTTTAGGCACCACAGAAAGGACAAATCCTAAGAGACACGAGGCGGTGGTGAGGTCACGGTGCCTCGTCACGGCCTCGTTGTTGCCTCGTATGACCCGTTGCGCCTCGAGGTCATCAGACCATGACGTACGAACATTTCGCTCAACCTTTAGGTATTCGCCTGCAAAAACACGAAGATCCGGCTCGCAATTCTCATGCTCATAGAACTGCTGAAGGATTCCAGGAGTGGGTTCGCACTGGCAGGGCTGCACTTGAGGTCTCTTTTAATGGTTAAACCCTTCTCATCACCCAGCTTTTCACCGGTGCGTTGTTGCTGCGTGTATCACAGGACTAAAGTCATTTATAAACACTGTTAAACTGTACACAAAGATCATGCATGATGGGAAAGTATCTCACAACGCCCGTTAAACAGGTGGTTAAACCAACCGTTCAAACCGGTTAACTCCCAATTCGGTTGAACCAACACATTGAAGCGGTTATTTACTGCTAAAGTCATAACCACATGAGCGTGTGAGTGTGTAAATGGTTGAATGCACGTACGACTTGTTGGATTTCTTGGCAGGGACTTCCGGCTGGTATGAGTAGCTGATGGCGTGATCAGTCAACGACCAGGCGTGGAATGGAAAACTGAGACTCCTCCAAAGCTTTCTGTCGATGTAAAGAAGGCAATCTTAAGAACTCACCAGCTATTAAGTGTGTACTTTTCTTCATCTCAAGAGAAGGTAGAGTAAATCGCACGGCGGCACATGCACCGTCCCGGCGGTGGTGCCGTACTGCGCCGTGCGCTCGTGGAAGGCCATACCACCCATCTTGCCGAGGCTAAGTGACGACAAGGCGCCTGAGTGCGCAAAGGAGGCACGCAGTGTGCCGCACCAAAGAGGCTGGCGGTCGATCAGCGTGCCAGTGTATACGTACTGACAGGGCCGGGCAGGCAGACTATCAGCAGTTGACAGCGGCGTGCAGCAGACGCACGATGACGTTAAACAACCCATTTAAAGTGTGTCCACCACGACATGGGGTACAAGCAGTTGAGGAAGTCCGTGCGCACCTTGTACTGTCGCAAAAGTCCAAGGTTGATTATACGCCCGTATAGCCAGCTATAAGACCCTATGGAGCAATAAGACAGGAGGGGGGTTCATAAGACTTGAACATTCCCCATAAGACAACTATAAGACACTATCGAGCCTATAATGTCCATTTATAGGCTCAATAGTCTCTTATAGATGCTTATAGTGTCGCACAGCTCAGATAGACAAAAACAATACAATACATCAAGACACACCAGAGATCATGAAATTCATATACAACATGACTTTGTTGCTCTTGATGCTTTTCAAGGAAGTAAGTTAAGGGAAGTTTATGCTGATAACTCACACTAGCAACACTTCAACAGTCTTTGTGCACAGGCATGCATACACATACAGAGAATTTTCAGAGGTGGTGACTTGAGTTTTGTACCTTGCTTGGGCCGCGGGGTGGAGGCCCCATGTAAGGAGGCTTTGATATTCTATCTAAAGGATGTTGCCGACTCGGACTGGTTTCTTAGAGCAGGAATTTAATACTCTCATGTTTTGGTATAAAAAAAAAAAAAAAAAAAGAGGGAGGGCAGTGGGGCCTATAAGATGTGTATAAGAGGTCTATAAGAGAGCTATAATTGAGCTATAAGAGACAGCCTCCCTATAAGAGCCTATAAGACAGGTATAATAGGTCCATAACTTACTGATAAATAGGCTATGGAACCTATAATCAACTATAGTTCACTTCGACATTTTGCGACAACTGATTCATATTCGTCCCTGTTGTCCACGACATGCACCTCGTGGGCCCTGAATGTGTCGATGCCACTGCTGCACACCATGATGGCGGCTGGGTGTGACTGGGTGCAGAAGGATACAAATGTGTCGAAACTTGGTGGTACGAAGAAGAGCAGTGATGCCACCGTGACGCGCGCTGAGTCATGGAGTCAGGTGAGCGTTCCGACCGTAACACTGAGGACAAGGTACAATATAACCCCAGAATATAATAGAAGTATATTGTTAGCATTTTTAATACATGCATGGAAAATACTTACAATACTGTAGCATTTCATTCAATTTGTATGTCACGCGTCACGGCAGCCAAAATATATGAAAGTTTTCGTACGTGTCACGCGTCACCGAAGGGATCTTTGAATACCCAAAACAAAGTCACAAAATCGGCGAGAAATGGCACAAAAAATGAAAAATTCGCGTGCGCACGGCACGTACACTTCAAAACGCCGCGGCGCTCTTTGGGCGCTCTCACGGAATGCTGGGTTTGACGTGATCGGTCGAACACGTGGTTTTGGGCCACTCATTGCGGTAGAGGTGGTGGGATTACTTCAAAAAATTGACTGATATACATAATATACCACTTTCGGTGTCGTCTTCCTGAATCCCATAATGATCTGCATTGTGCTGCCCCACACTTACAGCTGGCAATTCTACGACTTTCTGAGAGATTTTCGGCGGATATACAAACTTTTTTTTGGTGTCACGGTCTGGCTGGCTGATATACGAAAATCAAAGTTCGAGTTTTTTGGTCACGTGTCACAGGCGGTTAGAATTGAACGAAATGCTACAGTATACCATCTCTATATATGCTAAGTATATTTAATATATAATAACAATATGTTCACTATATACCAGAGGTGTATATTATGAGTATATTTGCTAATATACGAACTATATGCTTACAATATACCATTGCCCATATATGGGTTTGGTATATTGTAAACATATTATAGAACCAAATATGATCAGTGATGCCAACACTTTCTATAAGAAGCAATATTTACTGGTAGCTGGCCTTCGCGAGGCACGAGCGAAGGTCAGCGAGAGATAAAGTAGCGAACCAGGTGCGCGGCGATCACGCACTGAGCATTCCGACATCAGCAGGTCACATGAAGCGCACATCACGCTCGCGCTTGGTCCCGACCGCCATCGTCGTGGCCAGCCGGCTCTTTTTCGCGCGTTTCTTCGCGTGCTACGCCGCCACTTCGCCGCCAAGAGTACTCCCGACTACGCCAACACCGTCATCCACCTGCCACAGCTCACAAACAGCGTCAGAAATTCGGCATGGCGCCTCTTGCTTTCTTCATTCTTTTCTACGGCGCCTGGGCTCTTTTCTTTCTGCATCCCTGCCTCCTCTACTCTCATCTGCATGTGTTACACGCTGCGCGATCATCAAACACGCCAGAATTCACCCTGCCAACACCGAATCCGTTTCTTCAAGAACACGTGCGTTCCCGTTTACCGCGTTTCGAGCGGTTTATTTTTATTTTTTCCACTCCATCCTTTTCCTTCCATCCATTCCTCCCTCTCCCATTTTTGCCCCGAACTTGTCACATTGCTCTGTTTGGGGGGTCCGCCGCGTAAGCGCTTGCCGGCCGTGCTAACGCTTTGTCGCGCTGCTCCTTTTGGAGTGTCCGGCTGCTCGCTTCGGCATCGGACGTCTTCCCCAGTCTCGCGTCGCGCTCGTCCGCGGCCGCATTCGATTGGCGTCTTCCATCCCGGAGCCGCCTTCGTTGCACTCTTCAAGCGCTCTTCAAGTTGGGATCCGGAGCTGCCTTTGTTGCGCTCTTTGAATTTGGAGCGTCTCGATGCAGCCTGCGGCCGCGCCCGGCACACACCCACTCCTGGCGTCATGCGTCGAATTTTTCACTTCCCCCACCTCTTCGCGAGGTCATTTTATATTATACTACGCATTCGGCGCGTTCTGGATTATTTCTCTGAGCGCGTAGCGCGACCTTTTCTCTACTTACTACATACACTTGTGATCGTAGCGCACAAGGAGCTACTTTGTTATGTTATTTATAGGATTTGCCTTGATAGGAATTTTTCTTCCTTTTCTAGAGTGTTGCCTTAATAAGAAAGTTTTTTCTTCCATTTCTGGAATGTTTGGTTACAATATGATTACAATATACCAAACCCAAATATAGGTTGACAGCTACCATGTTTGGGTTCGGTATATTGTGATCATATAGTTGGTATATTAGCTAATATACTCAGAATATACAAACTTGGTATATAGTAAACATATAGTTGGTATATATTGAATATACTTTGCATATAAAGGGGTGGTATATTGCAAGTATATTCCATGCATACAGTCGCTAAATGCAAACCAAAACGGTGCCTCTTAATTCTTGAAGATAAAAACAAATACTCTGATGGTGCGTAATACGCTAATGTTTCGCTTCTATCTCTGTTTCGGTTCGCATTTAGTGACTGTATTTAAAACATCTTTTTTTTTTTCTTTCTTTTTTGGATGTACATTTGTTATAACCGCTGACAACTAACAATAGGTTAGCCTCTTTGGTCCGCAAAGATGCGGAATCACATGATCCGCCCAAAGGGTAGGAATGCTTTTTACGCACGAACGGCATGATGCCGAACAGTGTGGGACTCAACAATCAAGTAGTACCCACTAAACCTCCCACAGCTTGACTGGGGTTCGAACCCAGGACCTCCGGTTTACCCAGAGTCCAGGGGGTGCATGGCTACCGCTACACCATGCATCCCCCAATTTAAAATATACTTACAATACACATACAATATATTCAGGCATTATATTGTACATTGCCCTCAGTGTAACCGTGACATTGCGACAATTACACTTTTTTCCTGTCCCTTTCCTTCACGTGAGTCGTTGATGCAGCAATTCTCCGAAATCTTTGAAGCCCTTCCCTTATAGTGGCACGCCTTCTACCATGTCTTGCTTTGTATATCCCTAACCATGTATGCAGATTCGACGGTGGCACGGGCTCAGGCGGCACGCCGGCATACAGGGAGCCGAAGAGCAGCATGCCACGATGCCGACTCTGGATGGATTATTTGAAACAGTGCAAGGGAGTACTCGAGGTGATTTAAGTGCGTGCCAGCCCTTAGTACTTGCCACCCTTCTGGGCCCTGTTCCTACCATCCTTGCTCACATTACCTCTTCTCCACTTCACAACCTTGTTTTAAATTCGTCTTAAAGCTCACATGCTCTTAAGATTTACTCCATGTTTTAAAGGAATCAGTGCGGGCAAAGGGTGTCAATCGATGACGTTGATATCTCTCCTTCTAAGTGTTGAACTGCTGCTTTAAATTTTGAATTGTTTGAACCATTGAAATGGTTAAACCAGCTCAAACGGTTTAATCGGTTTAACCGGTTATGAATGGTTAAAATGGTTAAAGGCTAGTCACCTGGACCTGGACCTATTACTGTTGCCCCTGTGCTGAGCTTAACCGGTTAAATCGGTTAAACGTGTTAATGGTTTGAGACCCACCAGGTTTAACGAGGCTCATCGGGTGGTTGACAATTGGTTACCCCACAAGTGCTCACAGTATAAGTTTGGGTATGAGCCGGGCTCATGAACCCAAGGGTGGGTACCTCATCTACCAATCTTTTGACGCCCGGAGCAGGATCCACACACAATGCTCTGGACCGTCTGGACTGGGTGAATCCGGCGATCACGACCAGAACAGGAAATGATCCCGACGGCATTTCGGCGCGGCCATCTCGGACCGACGACAGTCTGTTTCAGGACCCCTGATAATAGGTGGGGAACCCGTTTCGCCTGTGACCAGCTTTCGGCGGTTCTTCTCCGGACGGTCGTTGGCCGGTTCTTCTCCGGAAATCGCCCCCGGGTCCAGTTTTGGGGCAATTTTTCTCCGGAATCCGCTAACGGGTTGCGCTGGGCCCAAAATCACTTGGAATCGCCTCAAAACAGCTCGCGACGCGTAACAGGCGCCATTCGGTGCATTCTAGGGGAATCTGGGCTCGAAATACATGTCTTTAGTTACCCTGTACCTCAAAACAGGAAGAAATGCGGTCGACGCGTCACACGGCGCCGTCGGCTACAGAAACAGCGCCTTCGGCTAGACACCTACCTATATATAATATTTTGATGCTCTTTTGGGTGCACAAGCTGGTTGGAAAGGTATCATAAAAATCAGGCTATCTAATTCTCCTTGCGACAGCACTGCGATATTTTGCGGATATTTTGCGTGGCCAGACATAGCTCCATTAGGGCCGTCTGGCAAGGGGTACATATCCGGATATGGCTCCGGCTCCGCCGCAGGCGGACGTTCTTCTCCGGAGCGGTTCCGGCGCCTCCAGCGGCCGTTCTTCTCCGGAACCCGAAACAGGTCTCCCACCTATTATCAGGGGTCCTTCTGTTTCATACGTCTCTTTATTTCAGGGGTATAAATCTACCCTCCACTCAAAACGGCCTGCTGGGTTGTCATGCAGGTGGGCGGACAGTCTGTGCTCACATTAAGGGGCCGTCGAGTTACATTGTGTGTGCTCAGTGCTCACATTAGTTACATCGTGCGGCACATGCCAGTAACGGCACCACTATGACATTACCCGGCTTCCGTCGCTGTCACGATCAACCTTGCGTAACGTGAACCTTGCGCAACGTGGGACCCTGACTCCCTCCACGTTGCGCATGCACCACGTTGCACAAGCACCACTCTTCGCTCTAACCACCATGGATGGTAAATGCATCCCTGCCAACCCCGACATATCTGGTATTGGTGTTCGCGCAGCCATCTATGCTCAAAATCTCTTATGCTTCGCGCCGGTTGTCGCGCACCTTTGGGACGGGAACATCTCGGCTGAGGAGATGAGTGGCGTGAAGGACCAATCTATTGGTATGCTTGCCATTGCCTTCGCGATTCTCATCTCCACCATCATCGGCGCCACAAACATTCCCAGTGGACAAGCCGTAACCAGTTTTCACGCAGCGGTCATTCTCGATCTGAGCTGGATGAACAATACGAGCACTTGGATCTGGTTTCTGTTATATGCTCACCATCTCACCAAGCCGAACAAGAAAAAGGAGGGCAATAGCTATCAAGAAAGGAAGACAATACATGCGACCTGGTCAGACTGGAAGGGTGTTCTTCTCTCCTCTCTTCGTTCGCTTTTGGACGGGACCGTTGATGCAGAAAAGGGTGCTTGCGGCCGACGAAACTCTGATGGAAGTGCGAGGATGATAGGTATCTGGCAGAGTGGTAAGCAAAGTAGTACTGGAGCCCCCGAGTCAAATTAAATCTCGCCTGCAGTCTTTCACCGTGCCTGGTTCTTTGTATCCGAAAAACCCGTTCTTACCCTCGGCTCCATCCACCTGTCACTCATGAGTGCTATCGGTCTATGGCTGTGGAGCAATCCATCCAAGTTTGGTACACCGATTGGTGACTGTGCCAGTGATCCATCATTTACGGTGGTTGGCGGTGCTATACAGTTGAACTCGCCGGGATTGCGCATCTTTTCTCTGGCGATATATTCCCTTCTCGTCATTCCGGGTCTCAACCTCATCCCCCCATTCCTCTTCTTCCTTGCACTCCATATTACATATAACAGCTCTCGGAATCGTCATGCCCACTTCTGGGGACGAGTCGAACATCTCATTGATTCAATTTGCTGTATTTTTCAAGGTTTTCATGGAATCATACAACGTGCTGTCAGTGCTGTGCAAAGCATTCCGAAATCGACCATTGCTCTATTTCGGAGGCGACACGGGCCATCTCTAGATTTGGAGTCCGGCCCACAGTCTAGAAATTCAAGTCCTGCGGAACCTGCTCTAGCGCCACAAAGAAATCACACAGGCTTCCTCATCGTGGGCTTAGTCTGTCTTGCCGTCATCAACCTCATCCTCCTTCTTGATATTGAACTTACGGTTCGGCGCAATAAAGGGGATCAATCTCAGGAAGATGATGAGTGGGGATTTGGGCAGGTCCTTGCATTGCTTCTTCTCGTTGTTCCCCTGCGCGACTTCGTGACATCCATCATGGAAATTCGAGAAAAAGTGGCAAGGGAAAAAAAGGCCATGGAGAAAATTCAGAAGAGTTTTGATGAACATCTCTGGCAAGCAATCGACGGTAGCACCTTCTTCAACCATGATTTTCATGGGCTGATCGAGCAGGGAGCTGATCCGAGGGTGGAGCTGGACGGTACATATGCTGGATGTAAATTGTCAGACATACACTGAGGACCTCCGACAGGGGACATGGAATGTAAAACCCTGCTACAGCTTGCGGCATCTATGGGGAATGAAGTTCTTCTGAAATTCCTGATAGAGAAAGGTATTGAGGATGGTGAGGGTAAGTTATGTAGTATGTTGCTTCTTCTTGCCACTGGTTCAATTGTCAACTAGGAAGGGCATTCCATATCGCTGCTCGGCACAACCGATTCCAGAGTGCCAGTCACCTGGGGAAGGACAGAAACGAGTTGGACAGGGCGGGTAGGTGGAAATTCTTTCGAATTTCTAACGTTAATGAATTATTGTACTTAAAGGAACGACAAAGAGGGTGATTCACCAGGTGTTGGAATGGCTGAAGGATTCCAATTCACATGTTCGTCGGGCTGCGCTTGAGTCCCTCTCTGGTCTTGGAGCACGAGGTATGCATCCTCTTCTCCAGTCTGGCAATTTGTGGCCTACTGACCCTGGGTTGTAGCGCAATTCCAGCAGGAGATCCGGCCAGCAATTCCCATGGTTGTGGAATTGCTGAAGGATTCCGATTGGGAGGTTCGTCGGGCTGCGCTTGGGTCCCTCTCTGGTCTTGGAGTACAAGGTAAAGATTCACTTTTCCAGTCTGAGCACTTTGTGGCCTACTGACACTAGGTTGTAGCGCAGTTCCAGCAGGAGATCAGGGCAGCAATTCCCATGGTTGTGGAATTGCTGAAGGATTCCGTGTGGGATGTTCGTCGGGCTGCGCTTGAGTCCCTCCCTGGTCTTGGAGCACAAGGTATGGATTCAGCTTTCCAGTCTGGGCAATTTGTGGCCTGCTGACACTAGGTTGTAGCGCAGTTCCAGCAGGAGATCCAGCCAGCAATTCCCATGGTTGTGGAATTGCTGAAGGATTCCGTGTGGGATGTTCGTCAGGCTGCGCTTGGGTCCCTCTCTGGTCTTGGAGTACAAGGTATGGATTCATTTTTCCAGTCTGGGAACTTTGTGGCCTACTGACATTAGGTTGTAGCGCAGTTCCAGCAGGAGATCAGGGCAGCAATTCCCATGGTTGTGGAATTGCTGAAGGATTCCGTGTGGGATGTTCGTCAGGCTGCGCTTGAGTCCCTCTCTGGTCTTGGAGCACAAGGTATGGATTCAGCTTTTCAGTCTGGGCACTGTCTGGCCTACTGACCCTGGGCTGTAGCGCACTTCCAGCGAGACATCTGGGCAGCAATTCCCATGGTTGTGGAATTGCTGAAGGATTCAGATGTATGTCATGCTGCGCTTCTGTGCCTATCCGGTCTTGGAGCACAAGGTATGCATTCTCTTATCCAGTCTGAGCACTTTGTGGCTTACTGACGATGGGTTGTAGCGCAATTCCAGCAGGAGATCCGGCTAGCAATTCCCATGGTTGTGGAATTGCTGAAGGATTCCGATTCATATGTTCGTCGGGCTGCACTTGCGTCCCTCTCTGGTCTTGGAGCACAATGTATGCATTCTGTTCTCCCGTCTGAGCACTTTGTGGCCTACTGACACTGGTTTGTAGTGGAATTCCAGCAGGAGATCCGGGTAGCAATTCCCAT